GTCGTCAAATTCCCAGGGCAACGAATGGTCCGCAGCGTGGGAAATTTTGTCACCGAGGTACTGCACTGGACAGGGTCTACTCCATAGGCCCCGAACGAGTGGAGGCAAGGATAGATCGGATAGATGGGGAGGTGGGGGAAAATCCCAAATTTTCCATGTATACCCTATAGATACCTATAGTGATATTTGATGATTGATGGAGATTAATGGTGATTTATGATGATTTATGGCGATTTGTGGTGATTTTTTGGATACGTATGATGATTTTGATCAACTTCACAGTGGTTCATGGTGAGTTCTTGTCAACTTCATGAGCTGTTCCCAGCCCAGGTTCGTTCTTTGGGGTCATCTGGGGTTATCTCGAAATTTGGAACCCCACATTCCCACGGTTTCGAAATGTTTCGAAAATCATATATCATCTTCGCCATGAAACTCGCCACAAATTGGAGTAGCCAATATCAATAACACTAGATATAAAGTATATTAAAGTATTATAAAGTTCATAATGGTTCAAAATAGATCACCATAAATCATAGCTCGAAAAGTGGTCGAAATTCATCCCGAGCATAGCAGGGTTTGCTGGAGAAAGCCTCCAAGATCCGCCACCCGCGACGTTTCTGGCGGAGGAAGCCCAGGTGACGCTCGAGCTGGGCGAAACCATGGTGGATGTATGGGATGAAACCACCGGGAGATTAGGGGGATGGGATTAGTTAAGTTGGCCTTCACATCACTCCAAATTCACGGGCGGGTTGAAGATCCATATTATATATATAATATGTGTGCGTGTAGCGAACTACAGTAGATGGATAAAATATTCAATCCCTGCAACACGCACTATGTTGAACCCCCACAGCCCAAAATCTCAATGTTTCAGCGCGCGTGTATTACCAAAAGTTATGTTAGGGGTTTGATTTTTTTCGTCCATTGGGGCTAACGCACTTCAGGTTGCATTAACATTGAACTTTGGGGGCGAGGGGGTTGTACCGGATAGAAGGGGATTGAATATTTCGTCCATCTACTAGTTCATGGGGGTTAAAATTATAAACCAACAAACATAACTCGGGAGGCACTATCTTGTAGCTTTAGACCCAATTTGGGATTGGTTCATGTTGCTTATTGGAGCTTGTTCTTGTGTGATAAGCCCACAACAATCTGATGAACCGTTTCTTCTCATGACCTGGAGAAGGATGTTTAGAAACTGCCGCGAACCCATCGAAATCCATCGAAAACCCCAGTTGATTTGTTGGGTTTTGGGTGGGTTGAAGCAATTCAACAGTTGTGTCCAAATGTTTCCAGTGGTGTTTGCTCAGGGCTGGTGAGGTTTCACCACGTTTCTCCCACAATTGGGTTGGAAAGTCAAGATGGGCCCCTACGAGTTGTAGACAAGCCTGTGCCTATTTGTGACTCCCCTAGGCCTAGATGATCCTAGATGACTAATTCCAAACCTGTCAGAACCGAGCACTGGCATTTACCAATCGAAAACATGGCATGCCATGGGCCTTGCTGGTTGGGTTTGCGGCCCAAGCCATGGGTTTCTGACCCAAGCCGTGGGCAAATTTCGCAGGCGAAATCTGCACTTGGTTGAGCTTTGGGCCGGGGGCCTTAGGAAATAAGTTAAGGTGAAGGATGTTTTACGAACCCCCAAAAGTTGGGATGTAATGTAATCCCTACACTGTAGAGTGTCATGTTATACAATGTGTTTCGCAAAAAAGTGGTTATGTAATCCTGCAACTATGATTATACAAATGTTGAATGGTTATGTATCCCACTAAATCCCATGAATATACCATTAAATCCCTATAGATATCATTAAAGCATGTTAAAAAAATTCCAGTAGCCGCAGTAGCCCCATGCGTATGTAATCCATATACAGCTATGGGTATATAATATAAATGGTTATACCCCCCCCACTAAATCACAAAATCCCATTAAATCCCATGAAACCTCCATTTATCCAGATACATGGTCATCACACATTACTATATGGCAAACCACCCAAAAACCATTATTATAACTATCATATTTAATACATTACATATAGTATCCCATGAAATCATTGCAACATCCCATATCATAAAGGTTATATAAATCATGCTGAATCACTATAAAATCTTAAATTAACAAAGGTTATATATACCATATAAGAGATATCCCCTATCAAATCCTATTAAATCAATAGAGACTCCCACTAATCCCATGATGAATCACTAATAAAGGTGATATATCCCAGTTCATTCATTAGTGGTTAGTGGATGTTAGTGGTTGGTGGATATATCACCTAAATCCCTAATAGGTGATATACAAGGAGTATAATCTATAAAACCGTCTAGAATAGAGTCCATAAAGGTGGTATAATTCCACTAATCACCTATATTAATTTAGTTTAGAATATGCTCACCTATTAATAATAATAATATAGTGATAAGTGATAATCCACTATTTCAGAAACTGATCTATGATTTTAGAACATGAAAAAAATGTTGGGACCCATTAATGATACATGGATTAATACTGTAATCATGCATCACGATTATCATTTACTATAGATTAAATCTATACTATAATAGTGGATCACTATATATCATCCACTATATATATACACCCTCTGGTAAACTAACATAGCTATGGAAAACCACAATTTTTAATGGGCAAATCAACGAACTAAATGGCCATTTTCAATAGCAAACTGTAAACGTTTACCAGAGGGTTTGTCTTTCATATGTATATACCATTTGGTAAACGTTTACAGTTTGCTATGGAAAACCACCATTTTTCATGGGCAAATCAACTAAACAACAGAGGCTTTTCATCCACTAAGCCGAGCCGACCCACTGAGGCGGCCGCCTCCTCTCTGAGCCGAACCTGCACCTTGGTGGCGGACCGGGAGGCCGTGCAGGCGCCGGTGTTTCACCATGGGGGGTTCACCATGGGGAAAACCCTGGTGAAAGCATGATGGGTTAAGAAGATCTTAAAAAAAAACATGGGTCACCAAATCAAATTTAATAGATGGGTATTCAATGATACATGAATTTTAAGAAAAAAACAAGCAACCAAATTAGATTTAATAGATAGGGCAAGCGCACCCAAGAATGGTTTAACCCACAAAACATGTTGGAACCAGGTGCATCTATGGTGCATCTCAGTATACCGTGCGGAAGTCCAGTGGATGACCCGGCGAATGTGGTAAACCTGGTAAACCCATTGGTAAAGCTAATAATCATAGGATAACAATATTAAGTTATGTTTGATAGTGGTTATAATGGTATATGTCATGGGGATAGCTATGATTGTTTAAAACCCACTGCTTAAACCATCCCCAAGCCATCAGCATTTTGATGGTAGAAACCACCCCCAGTCGCGGTAGGTTTGTGGCAGGCTTTCCCACACAGACCCACTTTTTTGGTCTCAGATGCCGTGCTGGCTCAAGCCAAAAAGCCACAGATGCAACCTTGGGATACCGGCAGAATGCATCATTTGACGACACAAACCAATGCCATGTTTCTGATGGAAGGATGGCGGCAAAGTGCAGTTCGATCTTTTTTGGGGAAGGAAGCTATCCGGTGAAAAGGCATCTATGGTGTTAGCCGCTAGGGTGAAACCATGTTCCAGGCTTGGTTTCTTTGTGAATGAACACATCCACAGGAAAACCATATCGAAGGCCCAGCTATAAGTTGGCATAGAATCCCAGCCTACAGCAATGGAAGATCCACAGCTAAGCCGGCTTTCGGAACTATTTGCAATTTGATATGTTCAACTGTCACTGCTGAGGGCTCTGGAGGTGCGCCTTAAGAATTTTCCCAAAAGAGATGTCAGATAGAATGCCCGGTAGAATGTCAGATAAATGGCCAGAATGTATGCCATGCAGTTCCAGGTAGAATATCAGAATATGTGTCAGATTCAATGCTAAAATATGTACATTAGTGTACATATGTTTTTGCATGCGCAAGATATAACCTTCGATTGCAAACCCTATAGCCTCTCAGAACATATGTCAGCTAGAGCGTGGCATAAAATTGTTGTTACTTAACGTATGGAACATCTGCATTTTTGATAGGTCAATCATCATAAATCATCCAACTAATGGGCCATTTTCCACAGCTGTATTGAATAACCAAAGGGCATCGGCAATCTCTATGATGGTTCCTGCAAATGCTGCTCCCTAGCCGCTCTATCCGGGGTCTCGGACTCAGCGATCTAGGCAGCCATTTGTGGTGCTGGATGGCTGTTGGGCTTTCACAGTCCCATCACGTACATAGACTTTGTGCTAATTTCACATAGCCATGGAAACTGGGAATTTAATGGAATATAAAATTTGTCCATTTCACATCATAGCCATGTTGTTGCTCAAACAATTTGGTGGGACCAAAAACAAGTGACCCGTCAGTCTTGGAAATGGCACCAACGGTGTCCATTTGCATCAATCAATCACACCTGGTCACCAAGGTTTGGTAATCCGGGGTGCGCTTAGGAGACTCGTAAACCCCAACCAGTTCCTGTCATTATTTGCTGGTTACCTGGTGGGCTGCTAAGTTGCAACTGGATCCCCTGCAAAGTTTGTTGGGTTCTGGTTGATTGGTTCGTTGGCTCTTTTCTTGATCACTTTGAGGCCCACATTTTGCATCAGAACTGCACCATTTGTGCCTCATATCGCCTCATCCTTGCGCTTCTTCTTCTTCTTCTTCATAGATATAATAGGTGAATGCGGCCTGTGAATATCATTGGAATGCCATCCGAAGAAATGAGTTTAAACCCTGCGGCCGTGTGGTTCAGTCTACCAAGCAGGCTGGCGCAGGTGATTTGTTCAAATCATCATTTGTGAATGCCTCCCTTTGTTCCAATATACCAGCAGATTGCATGTGCTTCTGCCCACCCAACTTTGACCCCATCCAGCATTACCTAAGAGCACCTAAGCTATATTAAGTTGTTTTTTCAAACAAAAATAGTGATTAATTATTAAGATGCCATTTACCCTCCAAATTTCTTGTTTGTTTCTTTTCGCCATGTCAATTTCTCTCCGCGCGGCGGAGCGGGCCATTTGTCGACCCTTGCTGCGCTTAGCCAAGTTGGCTGACAAGAACCCTGCGACTCGGCCGTATTTTCCCAACAAACCCTGGGAAAAGGGGTGATTTTTTTCATCAAACATAGGGAAACTGTGGGATTTGACCGTCGATGAGCCCCTGGATTCATGATTTAGTACTTAGTACCATCAAAATTAGGATTTCATTGAAACAAATTGGATGTATATATATATATTATATATATGTATGTATATTATATATATATGTATGTATATTATATATATATGTATGTATATTATACTGTGTAATGATGTAATGGATATTTAATGAAGATAAAAAGCCCCAGTCAAGCCTGGTGCTGCCATGACCATCCCACGAGCACAGGCTATGGAGGGTGATGAATTCGGTGCAGGTGTTGGGCGCCATATATAAATGATGGACAAATATACTGCACTTCGCAGACTTCGCACTTCTCTATTTAGCATATGTAGATTATGTAGATGAAGAAAGATTAGCTGCTTAGCTGTTGCAATCCTTGAGATGTGTTCCTTTCATATTGGATGAGTGGATGGGCCTGTGATAGTGTGTGCCCTTTGGTACACTAGCATTGAAATTGTAGATGCTCCTTTGGAAACAAATCTTTCACATCTCTTGATGTGGTGCATTGAGGGGCTGGATGGGCAAGTGTGAAATCGCGGATGTACCCGAGTTGAACAGATACTGGCAGATACAACCAACATGAGAGTGACAGTGTCGTTCAAAAATGTAGGACCTCGCACCCATTGCATTCTCCTAGCGCACCAAAGCAGCAAACATGGTCAGATTGATATGATTGATGATTTGCAGGGCCAGTTTCGTACGGCATACCCTCAGCGTTTGAGTCGCTTTCATCACATACCCTAGTGGCACAATGAAAGTTTTGTCTACATATTGGTGAACAAGCACGGCAATTAAACATCCAATGAACATCCTTCATATCCCTCATTTGCGGCTGCGGATGATTTTCCTTCTAAACATTGGCATGTTCGATGGTAATGTTGGATTCCGAGAGGGTATATCCTCATGAGGGCAATCGTTCTTGTTGATAAACAGCCCCCCAGAATGCTGTTGATGAATAATCACATGTTAAATCATGCCAAGAAAAATCATGTGCGGGCATCACTACCCATTGTTCTGGATAATGTTCTGGATAATCCCATTTAAACACCCAATATTTGCTGGTGAAGTGTCATTTGCTTCCGGATCAACTTCCCAGTTCTTGAGAGTTATTTAAGACCCCAATGTCGGGATTGTATCCCATGGAAATTGACACAAAAAAAATACTGCAAACATTCAACGCCCATAGCTTGTAATAATTTAAAATCCACAAATACACCGTAAGATCTTTGAAAAGAAACAAAAAACACCACCCCACTGGCCCACTGCCCGGCTAGAACATCCAAGCATCCAAGTTCAAAATCCCATATGTTCAGATTGCGTCCCAAAAACCGTTGGGAATATAAACACTCCAGGCCCCGTTGTGTCGCCACAATGATGGCAAAAAAAAAAATCGCCGAGGCGCGCTTGGCGACTCTGCTGGGCCAACCAGCTCGGCTGTACAACAACAAGAGTTACTTGGAGGATAATGGAGGATCCTTAAATGGCACCATGTGTGTAAAAAAATACTTAGAAAATAAGGTCACCCGCGACTTGGATGGTTTGGGGTACCCCCATTTTTTGGATTTCATATGTATACATATACATATATATATATATATATACGTATATATGCTGGCCAGTATGTGAATGATATCATATCTGATATCATACTCACATGCCCACGAATCAGCAGTAATTTGACATCCTATTGAAAAACTATCCCCAGCATGGTCGACGATCATGTTGGAAAAGCCATTTTCTTAGTTGTCAATATTGCATATTCAACATTCAACTCAGTCGTTGCATCGTTGTGAATGTGGTATTAATGTATTTCACAGTTCAATATCAACGGTGAAGAATAGGAAGATATGTTTGCAAAAGCTGTGGATATGTGTCAGCCAAACAGCTTTGTGTAATGTTGATTCACGATCTCAATCTCATTTTCACTTGTAGCCTCTTACAAGCACCTGAACACGTCATTTTCCCCGAAAAACGCACATACAGAAAACACCTATATGAACCTATATGTGATAGATGGTAATAATTAACAAATGGAACCCCATTCCATTGTTTAAACGTCAATGAACCATTTGCGGTGGAATTTCAGCAGTCAGGTGGCAAGAAGCAGAAGGTGGATGGTGGAGACGCTTGGCGAGAAAGTCAAAGCCAGGTGTATGGCGAAGCAGCAATTCTCCCATAAGCAACAAATTATGAGCAATCTGTTTGGGATACCCTCTGGTAATTTAACGTAGCTATTGAAAATGGCCATTAAGTTGATTTCCCATTAAAAATGGTGATTTTCCATAGCTATGTTAAATTACCAGAGGGTAATACTCAATGTTATTTGTTGGTTTTATCATGTATTGTCACATAATAATAACTATATATAGTTTAATTATGGTCAATTAAAGTTCTTTCCCGGAAATTTTCCACCGACGTATATGATAGCATCGGGTTGCGCACATTATATACATACCCATGGTGATACAGACATCTTGTATGCACATGTGCATAGACAATACCAAAGTATAGTGGTGTCGGCAGATATGGAAATAGATAGATGGATGGACGCAGAGATAGATAGCTTAAAATAAACTCTGGTAATTTAACGTAGCTATGGAAAGACCATGTTAACAGGTAAACCATCAATGAATGTGTTAAATGGACCATTTACCATAGCTATGTCAATTACCAGAAAGTATTGTGTAATTCGCGTGTTTCCAATGTTCCAGGCGCTTGTTTCAGGAAGCCTCTTCTGTTTCCACAAAGATGGAAAAACTTCGTCAGTGGCTAGTTACAGTGTGTCATAGATGTCCATGATAATTATGTATGATATAATATATATAACATACATAATTACACATAATAATTATAGATATATTATCTATTTTGTTTTGTAGACATGATATATATATAATATGTATATATATATATATATCTATCCGGTTGGTGGTTTGGAACATGTTTCCACATATTGGGAATAATAATCCCAACTGACTTTCATATTTTCAGAGGGGTTGAAACCACCAACCAGATATATAATATATACACACATAGTGACGGACTCCTATTTTTATTGACGAACTCCATATGGATTGTTAGATATTGTTACTATTTGTACCACAACATTGCCAAAACCCAAGATCCATGAAAAAAGTGGACTCGCCTTATAAGTACATTGTTTTGTTGTAATGTCAACATCGGTCAATGAAGCCCTCCCCCCTCCCCACCCCCTCAATTAGATTCATCCACTGAATTAAGTTGAGGCCAAACATGCGCGTGGGATTTAGTATTGGTAACAAATTGCGAATTGAAAAGGAACATATACATATTGAGAAAACTGCTGCGCTTGGTATTGCCAAATAAATTGCTCACCTGAAAACGAACATATACATATTGAGAAATCGTTTGCACTTTAGTATTGCATTTCATTTAGGAAGGGCCAACACATTGGAGCAATTTATTTAGAGCGGCCATCACTATAAAGTGCAGTTTTTCAAAAGGGTTGAGATAGCAAAACTATTTTACTTTAAAAGGGGATTTAGAAAGCGAAGTATATTCACCCCAAATCCAAGCAGGAAAAATCGGTTACGTTACTAAGAGGGGTAAGACATGGTACATGATTGTGGTTCCGAGGTAGTTCAAGGCTACCCCCTTTGCGTTTTTTTTGGTGGAATTTTTGAATAAGGGATTTGTAGAGAAATCAATGCATTCAGATCGTTCGGGATTTTAATTCAGATCGTTGGGGTCAGACTCAAAAGAAACAGGAGCAGAAACAAAAATGGTAAAGACAAATCAACAAATACACCCTTAAAAACAGTAGGCGTACTTTAGTGTGGTGTGGCTTTATGAATCTGTTAAGTTGACGTACTTTCTCGCGATAGGGTTCGTCAACCTGATGTTGACATGATGTTGACAGTGTAACATTGTATAAGTACACCTTATTCTATGAACAGGGATTTAACATGATTGAACATGATTTTACCAAATAAGTGATTTTGTTGTTTTTTAAATCAAAGTAGGACGTCGTCACTATAACGGGTTTCAGCATGCTCCCGTTCGCCCGTGAAACAGAGCAGGCTGGTTTGCCCTGCCAAAACCGCCAGAAGCCATGGATCTTCCGAACTACTTGGGGGTGCCGTTCCGCTAATTTGCGCGGGGTATGTCGCAAAAAATGACCACAATGCCATAGTTGTGGGTTTTTTTTCTGTCATGTTCCCAACTTATGGAGGTCATCCATGGTCATCCCAACGGAATGGTTACGGCTATTCCATGTCATGTAACCCCTGGCCAGTTGCCATGGATCCAGTAGCGCAGGAATGGGCTTTCGTGGGCAAGGCCATTTGCGACCTCTCAGGTGGAGCAACCGAGTCACTTGGCGTCACGTCAACTCAGTGCCGCTGGGCCGACTGAACCAACCATGACTGATGGTCGTATCATCCCCAAGGGGATCCTTAAGGGGATCCCCAAGCAGGGTATACCCAATGATAAACCTCTCAATTTTGGGGATGTTGTATGAAATATGGGTTACCATGGTAAACCACGCATTAAGCTTATTGGCGCAAAGGAAATCGATGCGAGTTTCCAACCTGCGATGTGCCAGGGAGATGGAAGGTGCTGAGGAGGCGTTGCGCCCTAAAACGGAGCTTAGATACTGGTTATATCGAGCCACCTGCCCCTCAAATGAGCCACACCCGAATGGTGCTCAATTGTCGCGGTTACCCTTTGGTAAACAAACATAGCTATTGAAAATATGGCCCATTTATAGTTGATTTACCTATGAAAAGTGGTGATTTTCCTACTGTTCCATAGTTTTTTGGTATGTTTACCAGAGGGTAACGAGGCCCAGACACGTCAAAATCAGGTGACCAAGCTTTGCTGACTCGGGGCTGCAGCCCGGAACCGAGGTACGCCATTCCATGCAGAGAACAACGGGCGGCTAAGGTCATCAGGCGACCACTGGTGGTATACCCTCTGGTAGTTGAACTATGAAATGAAATATCACCATTGCTATAAACACATAAATAAAAAATCATCTATATTCATGGACCATTGTCCATCATTGTCCACCTACTTGTGGTAACCTGTTTTACCAGAGGCTTGTAAAAAATGAATGAAGTTTCGGTTTTCCCAGAACTTGGCACCGGGTGGCAGGGATCACCTGGAGTATTTGTACCACTTGGGCATTCCCATCATTCCAGAGGCTGCGGCTGCTTGGCGGAGAGGGGGGCCCCGTGGGAATCAAGTGGTTGCTCTGTGGTTCATCCAATCCCACCTAGTAAATACATGTAAATACTGTAGGTCACAATCATAACCCTGAAGATAAATGAGCTAAGTAGGGTTAGCCCACTTATACCTGGGGTTACAAGCTACTTACTAAGTGGGATGAATCACTCAGTACAATTTGCAGCGATATAATTCCCGCATGAAAAGCGCATGGTCAATATTAAGATTGCTCATTTCTTATTGGAGCGTTGGAATGGGATGAACTGGTGTGAGAACCAGGGTGCCAGCGTTTTGACGCATACCCGTATCGTGTATCTTACAAGATGGAATTGTTTGACAGTCATTCATGATGACCCCAATTTGCTGGCCGCAGGTCTGAATAGTCAGGCCGTTTGTGACTTTTGGCGGACCTGTTAAGAGGTGTTGTTCAATCATGAAGAAATCCAATGCTAGATAAAACATGGTTTCTAATGAGTACTGCATTTGATAACCAAATGGATGGAATTAACAACTCTAGGATTTCGCAAAAATCAATCCGTTGATCCATCCGCAAATCATATTTTAGAACCATTTTACTGGGCTGCATTATAACGACCTCACGTTGCGACCTCACTGGAATGATGCTAAGAAGTGCAAATAATGGTCCCAAAATAGCCTATGTGTTCATGTTGCTAAATTATCATGATTTATTCACATGTAATGTTGACCTACGATTTATCAAATTACCCTGAATAGTGCTAAATTTTCTCCCAAACTAAATAATAAAACTACCCCGAATAGTGCTAATTTTTTTTGGCCCTAAACCCAGATTTGCCCAGATGGGGCTGACCAAAACCTTTATTCAAAAATGATAGCTGGAAATTGTCAAAAATGATGGATGCTCTTTCTATTCAAAACCTGTACTTAAACTTATCCAAAATCAACTCCAAATCAACTCATCAAGGGTACCCCCCATGAGGTGCCTTAGCACCAATTAGAGTTTGACCCTGAATAAAGCTAATTTTTTTTGGCCCTAAACCCAGATTTGCCCAGATGGGGCTGATTTTGTTTTTTTCCATGCTTTATTTGACGTGGCTTTCATGTACTAATTCATACTGCCAGCTCATTAGATCTTACCTTGATAGCTTCAAAATTTCAAACATAATGAATGTTCTTTCTATTCAAATCCTTTATATAAACCTATTTAAAATCAATCCCAAATCAACTCATCAAGGGTACCCCCCATGAGGTGCCTTAGCACTAATTAGAGTTTGACCCTGAATAAAGCTAATTTGTTTTGGCCCTAAACCCAGATTTGCCCAGATCCATGACATGAATACTAAATCAATACTAAATCCATGACATGAATACTAAATCAATACTAAATCCATGACATGAGTACTAGATCAATACTAAATCCATGGCATGAGTACTAGATCAATACTAAGTCCATGACATGAGTACTAGATCAATACTAAAACAATTGCTGGATTCCTTTTTTTTTTAAATTGCATTTTATGTATTCGTTTTCAATTGTGGAATACTAAATCCTTTACATACAAACAAGTTTTATGGTAGCTTTAAGTCTATTTAGGGTCAGAGAGGGGGGGTGGGGGCCCCCCTATTTATAAATCAGAGGTGGACATTATTTGGGATAGAATATTCAGTAAAGTAATATTGTGTTTTTCAGGTGAATTTCATGCAATCATATAAGTGGTGGGTTGAATCACAATGTTTCTTAGATAAAGCCAGCGCATGTTTGACGGTTCCTATCCCATTGTCCAATTCCTAAACCAGTTCCCCAGAAATCACCACATTCCTGGTAGCCATCAGTGATGTTTGTTGGTTTAGTTTCACCCCACGAATACTGGTTTGTGAAATATACCCCCCAATGAACCCAACACTTCTCACCAAGTTATGTGCATCAACTTAGCTATCTAAACCCCATATAAATCACCATTAAACCCCATTCAATGCCAAAAAATCCCATATAAATCACCATAAAACACCATTAAATGCCAAAAAATGCCATATAAATCGCCATTTAATGCCAACAAATTCCATATATCCATATAAATCGCCATGAAACCCCATTAAATGCAAAAAAATGCATATAAATCGCCATGAAACCCACCATTTTTTGGATCCTTTTGGGGGGCGATGGCCTCAGCAGGGACTGAGGAAATGATCCGTCGCCTTCAATCAGCCGCCACTTTGGCCATCCATCTGCGTGCTGCTGAGCCAGACTGGTCCGTGGCACGGTTAGCAGCGAGAACAGCTCGGAAAATGGTGGGAAAATAGGATGAAACCCTAGTTTTCTGATGTTTTCTGATGGTTTTCTGATGTGTTCTCTTCATTCTTTGCTGTGTCACTATGTCTTTGGTTTGATTATGGAAAATATGGAAAAGAAAATGATGGGAATCAAGTTTCATTATGAAACCGTCTCATGATTTATGTTCATTGAAAAAGTGGCAAAGAAGATCAATGCATTGAGACAATCTGAGACATGTGTGGAATATTGACTAGAAAAGGTAGAATTTTGGTTCTTGATGGGTGTGGCCGCCGTGGCCCTTCCTGCTTTCTACGCGTATGGTCAAAGGTAAATACGCTTCCCGTAGCCCCAAACGGGGGATAGAAGGCAACCTCAAACGACTCATGGTGGCTATGTTCCCGTACTTGTTGGTTCCATCAGTTACATCATGTCATATCAAGATACCCTCTGGTTATGTCAAAATAGCTATTGAAAATCATCATTTCCAATGGGTAAATCCACTATTTCTATGGCCATTTTCAATAGCTATGTTAGTTTACCAGAGGGTATGTCAAGTCAAAATCGTTTTGTCGGCCATTGTTAGCTGCTACATGTAAAAAAATATCTAGGATATTTACATACATGTACTGTATATACTCGTAAGATCTTGTAAATATACATCAGCAATAGATCAATAAATACCCCACATCTTCCCATAGTTGTCATCTTGGTTCTACAGTGCTTCTTTCAGCCGTTCAGCCGGTGCCAGAAATTCTCCAATCTTAGCGCTACGTTTTTCACATGTTTAAACCATAGATGTTCCCACAACTTGACCATGGCACCCCGCGGAGGAATGTCTGGACTCGGTGATTTCTTCCTCCTTCGCAGCGCCGATGGACTCGGATCTGGCACAGATGACCAGCAGTCAGCTGCAGGAGACTGGAACGACCGTGACCGGCACCCTGCCAGGGCCCCCAAGATGATGATTACCTTCTGGTGAACTAACATAGCAATGGAAAATCACCATTCTTAATGGGAAAATCCACTATAAATAGCCATTTTCCATTGCTATGTTAGTTCACCAGAGGGTATGTTTAGCTTACCCCAGGTGTTTATTTTTCGGTGGTTTTGCAGGGGGAAAGGATTCTAGAAAAGCTGGAAACCTGGAAAAACTGCTATGTCTTTTCTGGGTGGTACTGGTACTATAGAGTCTATAGAGGCATTATACACTCTATTGTTCAAAATAGTGAAATGAAATAAAATAACCTAATGGAAGAGTGATGTATAGTAATTGTGATGATTACCCTCTGGTACCCGAACAGTTTGCCATAAAAGATGCGAACCGTCATGAAACATCAAGAAACGTTTGGTCATATTCCATGGCCGTGTTAAATTACCAGAACGTACATACCTTAGTTTATTTGTCAAACAAAAACATCTCAAATGATTTGACTGGTGACATTGTTGTTTGTTGGTTCAACAACATTGAAGCATGGTGCAGTGGTGCAGTCAGAAGTGTGGTTCCGAAGTGTGAAATCCGCCACACAAACTGAAAGTGATGCGAAATGATGGTTTTTGACTCTCAATTCATCAGGTTCCACCAGTTGAATTGAAGGCAGCAAAAGTCGAATAGCTTCCAGCAAGTCGACATCTGGGACTTGGGAAGGCTCATACTCCCATCCCCCCATTTTGAATGGGTTCCAAATCTGTGGAAATCCCTTTATTAAACATGATTATCCATGATTAACCCATGGTTTATGGGGCTTGCCTTGACTCCAGGTGCCAGGTGAAAAGATGAGAATTTGACCGGAGCATGGTCGATATAGCGCCCCTCTATGAGGGACAGCAACGATATGGGAAGAAGATGTTCTTTTTTTGAGCTACCCACACGTCATTGAGGGTATGACATATGACATGGTATGACCGAAGGACTAGCGCCGCGATGATCTCTAACGCTGGAATAGCCTTTGGTTTCATCAAGCATGGAAAATTGCATTTTCCCCATTGGATGCCCATGTTTGATTACCTGAGGTAGAACGATTCTTAGATGTCCACTTCCACTTTGCTAGATTTGCGACTTGTTTCCTGCGTACAATAAAAACATGTATGGATACTCAACCAGCACTGGGAGAGAACGATGATTCTGCAGTTATGCTTGGAGATTCATCCCAATCGGCCACCACTCATCAGTTCAGCAAAAAAGATGGGGCTATCCTCTGGCATGCAACTTACCAACCAGGGCGACTAGTGGGGCGCTTATATACTGGATGGAATCACATGTAGAATCACATGGTGGAATCACGTGGTGGAATCACCTGGTCTAGGAGGAAAGACTTGATCTCGAGCAGCTTCCGTTTCTTTGCAGCGAGGGTCAGGATCAGTTTTTTTCAAGGGTCAGGATTGACCCTAAATCGGTGACATAAAGCTAAGGCAAATGGGGATCTTCGTGATGTGGGCATCAAACATCAGTTCTACAGAAATACTAACAATATAAAAATTCGTATATTCGGGAAATCAATGTAAATCAACCATACACATATGTCACACATGTATTAATTGAATTTAATTAACAGTTCCCCCAGAAAATCCAAGAAATTAACAACAATATACATCAATATCCCATGGAGCAGAACCACCCATCCTTTCTTTCGATGGGCTTAGTCTCCACAACACCTGCGTCTCAGCGCTTGCTTCGGTGTCGAGGCCCGGTGCCGAACCACGGGTGGGAGACCTGTTGATCAGTCATCCCCTGTGGAGCGTGCTCCAAGCTCCGCAGCTCGGCTTTTTCAAAATGGGCCGATGGGGGAATCATTTACAGTTACCCTCTGGTTATGTCAAAATAGCTATTGAATGGGATTTATAGTGATTTTTCATGGGATTTTATGGTGATTCGATCAATGGGATATTAATGGGATTGATACCCTCTGTTAATGACTGACATAGCTATTGAAAATGGCCATTTATAGTGGATTTTCCCATTGAAGATGGTGACTTTCCATAGTTATGTTAGTTTACCAGAGGGTATATGCAATACAGTAATGAGATGCATTGAGGTTATACAATATAACTGGTATATAACTGGTATAATATGCAGTTTCAGATTTGCCTTTAATGATGAGGAATATGTGCCAACTATATATAATTAAACATTATACGGTTAATTATACAGTTATATGGTATAATATATTTCATGAGGTTTGAAACATAACAGGTTTCGTTCAAAAATATGTGGGACGGTCATCCCACTGACTCGGCCAAGGGTAAAGGTCAGTTGGCCAATACACCCCAAATTGCACATCATTGGGTAATTGGATATGATACAATATTATCGATATGTATTGTCATCGTATTTTTTATATTTTTTATATGTTTACTACTAGTATATACTGTATATATTATAGAGTTTATTTATTATGACTATATAAGTCCTATATAGGTAACCAAAAATATATAATGCTAATATGTATTCTGAAATATGCATGGTACGATATGAGTTCATGGTCCCAAAAATGTCGTGAGGTTCGACTACTCCGTGCTGTTGCTGGCGGCTGATGGCCTTACGGGCGTCACAGGGCTAAGGCTCAACCAGCCGGAGGAGCCCTGGCGACATCGTGACATGGACAGGGCGGCTGGATGTGGTTTCCACATGGGGAATCAGAGTGTGATAAATGTTGTCCATATATTAACCAAAGTGATTTTTGCCCAGACATTCACATACATTAAATCCCATTGGACTGTGGTTAAATCATGTTAAAACAATTTAAAACCCTATTAGCATCCATTAAATCCCATACGGGGTTTCTTAAAATGAGAGATCTGCATGGGCATGCTTGTTTCAATACTCAAATGGCCTAATGACTTGATCATTTGGGGGGGCAACAACATTTTAGGAAACCTCCATAGCCCCTTCAGTAAAACCTAGACCCGGCCATGAGTTGGGAGAGGGTACGATGGTATCATATTCTTGTTGTGTCATCCTGTGCCAGATTAGCAATTAGATAATATACAATATCCATAACAATTGTCCAAGATGATGGTTTAGTATGATTTAGTTGGATTCTGTTTGCTGGTTGTTTGGTATATGTTGACGAATCGGTCAGACATCACCTATGAGCCGCTGGCAATGGAGAATTGAAATGTCCACAGATTCGTGTAGTTCTTATGCTCCCAAAAAAATGGAAGAGAAAAAGGGATGCTCATTGATCTTCGATTTTCCATGAATGATCATGAATGTCATTAGGAATTCCTGAAAAAAATCCTCGATCTTCCGCCTGCTGTGTGCCCCAAGCCACCAAAAACCCACCTTTGAAAGCACCACAACTCCCAGGGACAGACGTTGGAGCAACTTCTGGTTGCCTCTGATCAGGAGACTGACCTTGCGAACTGCCATGGCCCATGAAAGTACCCTTTGGTAATTTAGCATAGCTATGGAAAAACACAATTTATTTTGGGTAAATCAACTATTTCTATGGGCGGTAGATGATTTGCCTAAAATGCCAGAGGTTTCCATCGCAGAGTGTTTCAATTACCAGAGGATACATTGGAGATTTTGGAGGTCGTTTGACCTCCACTTTCTGCCCAAGTTGTAGCAACCTTATCGGCCTAGGTATGAGACCCCAAAATGATGGTGAAGTGAGGTAAAGTTATCGATCAGAATGTACCTACAAAATTCCGTGCCGGAATAATTCGCAACAACTCAGTTCACTTAGTCATGCCAGCAAGATCAACGAGAAGGTTTTGAGTTCCGACAGTCACTTTCATCAAACCTCATTAAAAAGGTCCCGGAGTTGAAGCAAAACATTTGCAGGAAAACCAGACCAATTTGCAGCTAAAGAAAAGGGTTTCCTGTGCAGATTTTCCCATAAACGAATCGGTTCAAGAGGGTAAAGCACTATAGATTCACTCGATATCACTCGATCATATTTCCAAGTGTTTGGGTCATCGGACTAGTGAATGCTGTGTCTTAAAGGCTTTGATGGAGGATTTTTACTTTGCACTGAAGATTGATGTTGTCAAAGGTGTTTGAGATTGGCCATGAATTCCATATACATGCTCCCAGCGCGGTCACTCGGGCGGGGTGGGTAGGGGAGAACATGCAATTCAAAATGCCTTGGAATATTTAGCATTCACACCCAACCCCAAAAAAAACACCATCCAAAGTCAACTGTTTATAAGGTCTGTCAACCTCCATCTTCTTGAACCAGAACAGGGAGGAAAAAACTTACATTTCTATTTGATTTGCCTCCTCTCCCCCTCAAACCAGAAATACAAATCCGGCCGAAGCCTTTCCAGTAACAGGGTCGTTCCCCCGCGGTTTGTTCTGGTCACAGGAGCTTCCAAAGTTTCAGGCCTGGATGAGGAAAAAACCTGTAAGCCTGGGAGGGCCTTTGATGAGTTACAGCGAGGTTTCCAGTAACAGGGTCGTTCCCCCGCGGTTTGTTCTGGTCACAGGAGCTTCCAAAGTTTCAGGCCTGGATGAGGAAAAAACCTGTAAGCCTGGGAGGGCCTTTGATGAGTTACAGCGAGGTAGAAAGCTACTGGGATGGCAATTCTTTGGCGGTAAAGGTGGAGGGTTAGAAGGCGGAACATTGAAAAACATATGGACAAAAATTGGGGAATTAACGATGACCCCTGGGGAATAAGGAATTAAATGGGATGATTTTCTATGAATCACCATATTGGCTTACCAGAGGGTAAGAAATGTTGGAAGAGAAGATGTAGGTGTTGCATGGTTTTGCAAGGATGTGTTGGTTATTGCTGGATTGGCCAAGTTCTGGTTTACGAGGGCTGTAGAACGTTTCCGAAGCTGGAACCTCCCATCGATCAGGATTTCCATTTTTGTTTGGCATTGGAGGGGTCAAATTTTGATACTTGACTAGTGACTAGGAGTTTGGAGAGTGGAAGTTTGTGATATCCATTTGTTCGGACATATCCATTGAATTCCATTGATTTTACGCACCTTTTTCACCCTTCAGGTTCCTTTTCTGGCGCGCCCAAGGCCTATACTGGATCCACAGCAAGAACATGGACATATCGTTTTGAAGCTTGGCGTTTACCAACTGGGGATCACCATGAAAGGTACTGGGGAAACCATGGTGTTTTTCTGTGAACTTCATGGTTGGTTTCTACAAAAGATAAAGGTACTACCATCTGGTTATTTAACATAGCCGTGGAAAATCACCAATTTTTAATAGGTAAACCAAGTATAAATGGACCATTTTATACAATTTTCCATGGCTATGTTAAATAACCAGAGGGCATACAAGATAAGATAAAGCATCTCTGGTTGGTTTCTATATGTTTCGATTTTCCTCATGGGACGATGTGAAAAAAATCGATCTAGTCATTGAAATATTCTGATCGGTGGCTCAAATTGCTCAATGGCTCAATTACAAAACGGATCTCTTAAAGGCATTCCACCAGAAGAAGAACTAGATGAATCTAGGTTATGCATGGTTATGCCTTTTCCAGCCAAATGATATACGATTCAATTCCCAGTCTATTCCATTCCACCATATTGCACCATATTCCACCCTTCAGAAAGTTTGGTACCATAAAACATACAATAAAACATATAGTTACATAATAGTTACATATAAATATTACTGTACCGTATATTACTATATTAATTGCTGCATGTATTAGTTACTCCAACTTTACTGACTCCACCGCTGTTCCCAAGACGCCACCGTTTTCAGGCGGAGATTTGGAGGCGATGCAGCCCTCCGACTCGTTACGCTTCTTCCGAGGCTGCCTCTTGGACACCAACGGTTGAGGTTCCCAGGCAGAGATTTCACAAAAACACAGCAATAAGTGTCTTTTAGAGATTTATGATTTGGAACTCATGATCATGATGATGATGATGATGATGATGACGATGACGATGACGATGACGATTGATGATGACGATGACGATTGATGATGATTGATGTTTTTTTTTTTTAAAAAAAAAATATGTTTATATATGTTTATATATGCTTATATATATATGTTTATATATATATATATATTTATGGTGTTTACACCTGAGTCAAACTTGGAATACTTGCTAATGCTGTCCCCTAGAAACTAAAATGCTGTTACTTGGCTGAAGGGTTGGGATGGGGTGAGCTGAGGGTTGACACAGCACAGACTGATGCTACGCTGATGCTGCTGCTACACCGCTTGTAAGTCTTAAGTTGGCTTGGCAAAATTTGCAAGTGGTGGCCCTGAAAAATAGACATTGAGCTTGTCACCCGCAGTTTATAATGTCTAATATTTGTTGTCGATATGATAATAGATTGGTATACAAACACCCAGAGAAAGATTGATTTTGTTTGCATGTTTGCCAGGTATCTAATATCTAAGAATAGCCATAGGTCCATAGGTGTTTTATCGCAACTTATATTAAACTAACGTACGTTTCTGTGTCATCGCTAAACGATTGTGGAATTGTGGATGTGTTAACGGATTGTCCAAATGGTTGATCCACCAATTGGACATCGAAATTGGCTACAAAACCATCGTTTTCAGAATTCTTTGCGCCAGATAAAAATGACAAGGAAATCCAGATATTTGACTGTGTTTGACAGATAGTTGTCCCTTATTTTTAAAAAAATCAAGCCGATATGAACCATGACATTCCTACTCTTCATGTTTTGTGGGGCTTGTTTCAAGGCACCCGCCAGCATGGGTAGCCTCTGGTAAACTAACATAACGAACTGGAAAATCATCACTTTTCATAGATAAATAGTGATAAACTCAACTATTCCTATGGCCATTTTCCATGGCTACTGTGGATGGAAGAAATCCTGCACCATTTGGGAACTATTAGGTACCTGGAAACACTGTAATGGGTTGAGAATGGGAAAAACCATCTACCAACTGGTGCAGGATTTCGCAATATTTCGCAATCATCCACAGTAGCTATGGAAAATGGCCATAGAAATAGTTGAGTTTATCACTATTTATCTATGAAAAGTGATGATTTTCCAGTTCGTTATGTTAGTTTCCCCATAGGCTTCCAAAGATCTCAGGTGCCAAGTGGTCCTCCGATCAGCTTTCCGTGGACTTGGAGCGGGGTTTCTGGATCCACGCACGGCCACAACGTGCACAAAGCCCCCGGTTTGCTGCGACTGGGGGATTGGGAGATGGGTACCCTCTGGTAATAGCTGAGTTTGCTATTGAACATGGCCATTTATATATAGTGAGTTTTCCCGTTAAAAATTGTGATTTTCCATAGTTATGTTAGTTTACCAGAGGGTAACCACAACGACTGTTCTAACCCTGGGTCATCATGGTTTAGATAGGAAATCATCCCCTTTGCAAGATTCAGGTTAGTGAAATAGTAAAATAGTAAATAGTCTAATTGACCCAGATCTACATGGTCTATATGTTTATATACCAAGTAAACCAAATATTATACCAAGTAAACCATGCCATGTATGTTACACATTATACATGTATATAACGTAGTAAAGTTTATCTATGTGTCTATTTTTTGTTTCATTATACACTATAGTGATGTCTATATCTTGGTAATATTATATATAGTGAGCACTATTAGATGGTAATATTCATGTTCAAGTATTGAAATTTAATTTAATGAAATTGGCTCAATGAATTATTCTAATTCACACATATATATATATCAAGTAGGGTTTATCTACGCATGTATAACTGTACATGTGCATGTGAGTCTATAGTTGGATGGCATTTGTGTTGACCAACCTATAGCTGGGGAGATCGGCTGGATCGTTGTCCAAGTTACTGTAGTTGCTGTGAAAATAAACATTGCTGGTGAAGTTAATTCAACACCTCCATTCACAGTGTGAATGGAGGTGTTGAATTAACTTCACCAGCAATGTTTTTCATCGTATCTGGGGATTGGCCATGGACAGTGGGAAAATCAGCTGGAGATCATTCAGAAACGTAGGTGTTACAAGCGGCAGAGTTGCAGGAAATGAGATTCGTAGATCATGGAAAAAAAATGAAAAAGAGGGAACATGTGCGGATACATGATCTAAATAATGGAAATATATGGAAATAATGGAAATAATGAGAAACGTTTGATGTTCCATCCATTATTTAGATCATGGAAGAATAATGGAAACATCAACATCACCATTTCGAACACGTGGGTCTCGAGCAGCGGAAGCCATGGAAAGGAAGCTATTGAAGGGAAGGTGAGATCAGACAGGCGAACACATCGTCAAGACAACAAGGATATTGATAATCATCGAAGTTCGCCTTTAATCATGCTTGAGTTCTTACAAAGCTATGTAGAAGAACTGGTGCGGAATGATTGATCGCTCAGACAGGTTGACTGTTAAAGAGCTAAACTTTCATCGCTGGGCAGTCCAAATCTCGATACAGCTGGATATGTCAGTTGGTGTTTTTTTCTTAATTAAACTAGAACCCATCTACAAGTTGGATAAACCCCGGAGAGAGATAGGTTCTTAACCACCTACCCTTTGGCAATTGAACATTGCTATCAAAGATTGCCCATTTGGTTCAATGACTTCCAAGGGAAGCAACAAATAGCAACCATGGCTTTCCATAGTTGTTTGTGGACGTCCTTTTCAAGGTGAATATCTCTACTGTTTAGTGTTCCGATTTGCTCCAGAAGATTGACAAGGCACTGCACCGCAGCACTCAAGAAAGAAAGACGTTTATTGGAGGCTACCTGGAATGTTACTACAAGAGATAAGAGGTTACCAAAAAAAATCCTTCGGAATTTCTTCTATAGAATGGGGACCTATGAGACTCCCACTTGATCTATGATGGGGTTACCACATATCTTCTTTTGGATAGAATATTCTATCACATTGAATATATTTTACTATAGATGACCACTATTACATACTTATACGATCAAGATAGAATATGAGTAGAAATTACCAAATATTTTGGCCCGCTTCCCGAGGTTTGCACTCAATCTGTTTTGACAACGTCCTGGCAACCAGGGATGTTACTTGGCACGTTTGGTGAGCTCAGGGGAAGCCTCCAGGTCGGTTTCTTAAAAGGGAAGAGTTTGACATTATATGATGTTTATTTATTATATTATATATTTATAATGTATATATACATTATATTATATATATTATTTAGAAGTTATATATATATATATATATATTATAAGTTATATATATATTATATATTATTTACATATATGTATTATTATTATGATTTTATTGGTATTATATATATATATGTTATGCACATTGATATGCTCTAATTGTTTGGTGATTGCTTGCTTTTGCATACCCACTATAGTCATATTTTTGGGAATGGACATCCATAAACAGCAGCTATTTTGGGGTGAACAGAAGGGTATCAGTCGTTTTGACCCGCAGACAAAACACTCAGTTTGCATACTTGGTACTATCATTTTCAAACATATGGAGGTTTCTTAAAGTGGAGGGTACCCCGCAAATCATCCAAGTCATTAGACCATTCTATTGTTGAAACAACCTATGGTGACTTTGGGGTCCAACATGACTTCAGAAACCCCACAGATTTTACCCAGAATGTCAGCATGCTACATCCGTGTCGGGTGCGGCACTTGTTCGCTGCACTTCTCACCGAACTCAGGTCTGGTATGCGGCCATGTTGGCGGCTGTTGGTCCGGTGTATCTGGACTCCTTCGTTACGGAAGGGGCTGAGGGCGTATACCCCGATTGATTGCTATTTGAATGGGAAAAATATGGAAAAATGCGCTTCTAGACCACAACCATAGAAATTTGGTCCCTATTTTCAGACACGCCCATGCAGAACCTATGTGGAACACTGTAGTTTTTACATGGAATTTCTTTGGACCTTCCAGATTTCTGGGCGTTAGTCGGGAAGATGACCGACTGATCCCACAATTCTTTGGTCCACCAACCGCCGGAGATCATCGGAGATCCACCAAACAGGTGCGGGGTTTCCGCCAACCATGGAGGTCACATTTAGCATTCAAGCACTCTATATGCATGCACGCATATATATATATACATACATACATACATACATACATACATACATACATACATACATACATACATACATTACATACATTACATACATTACATACATTACATACATTACATACATTACATACATTACATACATACATACATACATTACATACATTACATACATTACATACATTACATACATTACATACATTACATACATTACATACATTACATACATTACATACATACATACATTACATACATACATACATACACATACATACATTACATACATTACATACATTACATACATTACATACATTACATACATTACATACATTACATACATTACATACATTACATACATTACATACATACATACATACATACATTACATACATTACATACACATACATTACATACATTACATACATTACATACATTACATACATTACATACATTACATACATTACATACATACATACATACATACATACATACATACATACAGACATACATACAGACATACATACATACATACATGTGTGTGTCTGTGTGTATGTATATGCAGATCAAAAATTGGTAGATATAGATATATAGATGTAGGCTATAATTCATTATACACCTTCACATTCACTTTCACTAGATCATGTTTTTTAGGTCCCCAACCAAGGGCCTACAGTTACCAGTTGTCTATGAAAGACAATTTACATCATATAAAAATATAAAAGTTACAAAAGCATGTAAAGATTGTATTTCATGAAATCCACTATGTTCAAAATGCACATGGTTTGGCACATGGCACATCGCCCTTAAAACGGCCACGGGTCGGTAGCGGTCGGTAGCGGTCGGTAGCGGTCGGTAGCGGTCGGTAGCGGGTACGCCCTGAGGTTGGCTGAGTTCCCTCGTGGTCCAGCGGCTGATCCCATTCTGAAGCAAGCGCTGGTGAATCACTACCGTTCCTCGGCTTCCATGGATTGATTTTCTTGGAGTTTTCGAGAAGAAAAACTATCAAACTTGGGATTTAGCAATGAAACATGGGGAATTATAAAACCTAGTCTGAAGTCGATGGAGAGAGAGAGAGAGAGAGAGAGAGAGAGAGGGGGATAGAGAGAGAGAGAAAGAGAGAGAGAGAGAGAGATATATATATATACATAATAGGTGTTTGGCTGCAGGGCCCCTTGCAGTTCCATTCCCTAGCGGTCTGCCGAAGCAACGGACCGCGGGCGCTGACGTGAGCATCGCGCCTTCTGGCACTTCTTGTGCTCTATTGCCACAGTGCAGGGCAATATCACCTTTGCTTCTGTTCCTGGTCTTCCCCGCCAAGTCCTACGTGTTCTTCGCGGTGTTTGACCTCATCCCTTGGTTTCCAAGGACGGGTTTTCCTGGTGCTCTGCCACAAACCAGGTGAGGGGTTACAATACAATTTATTGGCTGGTTCATTGGGAATTTTTCTTGGGATTGATCTCTGCTCACAAGGGGTGGGCACACTGATCTCTTGGGAACTTTTCTACATTTCTGGTCAATACAATCTTTTCGTGGTCCTTATTTGATTTTCATGCCCTTTGTGATTGTCTTGCTCTACGTGATCCTTGTTTGCTCGCAAGATTACACCTTCACAGCGAAGGCGCTTAAGGCGCCAGAGAGCACAGGCAAGACTTGCCTGGCATTTGCACAGGAAGCGCCTGCAGCCTTTGACGGGTCGGCAGCTGTACCGTGCATACAGACTCCTTCGGGCACATCATTCAAGAGACCCCAGCTTGCTTCATCAATTGCTTCAAGCCATGTGGAAATCAAAGGATCCCTGGCGCTGTCTCAATTGCAGCAAACTGAACCGATTCAATGTGAATTGCTGTGGCGATTGTGGAGGACATTGGGAAGACTTCATGGACCATTCCTTCACGCCACCAAGCCAGAAGGGCAAGACCAGTTCGAATGCCAACCGATCTTCCAATCAGGCTTCGAATCGTCAGACCTATACATCCTGGAGCTATCCGGAGCCTTGGACAGGAGAGGAGGACGACTGGGAATACCATTCGACCAGATCGAACTCAGCGAGGCAGAGGACACAGTCCCCGCGGCAGCGACAGGAGCCACGGCGCCAGCGCAAGCCCAACCAGACCCAGAAGCACAAGGGGACTGGCAAAGGCAAGCAGCCAGTGAAAGGAGGTCCCAAAGGCAAAGGCAAGAGCAAAGCCATCGAACCGCCTCCATGGACCAACAATGCAACAGCGCCGGAATCAGCCTCCACTCAGGCATCATCCAGTGCGCAAACCAGGGCGGAAGCGAAGCTCATGGAGATTGTCAGTGTCTTGAAAAAGAAGGACGATCCCGAATTGCAAACCCTGGCCAAGGAGGCGGACGTACTACATCACAAAAGTGCGACATCCAAGTTGCACAAGGCAGTCACCATTCATGGAGATGCCAAGACTGTGATGCTGGAGGCGTGACAGGCGCGTGCCAACCTTCATTCTTCCTGGAAGCAATACCTCGAGTCTGCCATCGAGACCTGGAAAAGCTTTGTGATGGACTTCGACAAAGAAGATCGCAAGCTGGAGGAGCAGATTATTATGGCCGAAACGGCATTGGCCACTGCGCAGGAAGGGCTCGACGAGGCGAAGAAGGTTGCGACCGAGGAAGAATTGAAGGATCAAGTGGAAACCATCGAAGACGAGGACGAGGCCGTCGATCGCACAGTCAAGACGGGCCAGATCATGAGAGAAGGCGTCTCAAGCATGTTGGACGGTTTGGTTCAACTCAAGGCCAGCACCGAGGATATGGTGGAGGAACAGGGCAACAAGCGTCAGCGTACAGACGATGGCTTGGCCAAATCCACCGCGATGCAGCCTTTTGGTGGGGCCGGTCGCTAGGCCGTAAGGTTAGCGGCCCATGGCCGATGGAGACCTGTGACGCCCTGATGAAGTGGAGTCACTCCATCCTTTATGAAAAGAATTTCATGAGTGAATGGCAGGCCTATGACAGTGCGATTGCTCTATCCTTCCAACTTGGGAGTTGGCAACAGAGCCTATCAGCCGTACAGCCTGAGTCACCATTTCAACATGACACAGTGAACCACCGTAGCGCCAATTTTGTTTCCTTTGAGCAGGATGTTGAGATTGCCTTCTTTTCACCTGATGACGATGACTTATTTTATCAACCACATTCTACATCCATGACTTTGACTTCGTTGGCATCATGGACACATGCTGAAGGCAAACCATGGAGTTCAAGAAGGACACGTTCCAAGAAGAACAAATCCTTTCCCTTTTCCAGTGCAACCTCCGAAAGTTCAGTATCAATGACATCCAACACTGATTTATCGCAGAGGCATCAGCCACCACGTGCTGGGCCGGTTCCAGCTCAGGACCAGTCTTGGCAAGACACTGTCTGGGAGCTTTTGCAAACTGAAGGAAGGCCTGACACAGATGCAGAGGACCCGGTCATCTTTTTGAAGTCCTACTTCATCAATCATGTTGGTCATCAGCACAGTGGACCTCCCAGACCCATAAGATGTTCCACTGACTATACCAACTGGGAGCGAGATGCACGCTTTGTATGGGAAGACTTAGCTGTTGCCCACTTGCCCATTGACTTGGTCTTCGTGCGTCCACAGCCACCTGCTTTGCAGGCCAGTGCCATGATTGCAACTGTCATCATTCATCAAAATCCTGTGCCTCCAAGAGTTCCGTGCCTCGTCACTGCAGTATTCATTGATGATCCTCGCACATGGACTTTTGAAATGGCCCACTCGGTGACCCCTCTATTGACTTTCGAGGAGGTTCTCCAATTAGGTGATGCTGCTGAGACGTGTCGAGCACGCGAACAGGATGGTTCAGACCCATGCACACTACATGTTGGTTTTCGTCTCCTTCCGAGAGATCAGGCCATTGTTGTAGAAGAAGGCATGGGCATCACCATTCGCGTACCTTCTCGATTGTCTGCTGAAGAAGCTGAACAAAATCTTGTTGCACGTGTGCAACGTCTACGTGCTGTTCAAGCTCGACATGAGTGGAATGATGATGAAGCTGAGAACCCAGAAGGAGCACACCCAGCATCTGCAGCCAGTGGTACAAGAGAGAATCAACCGGAGGATGCTACATCTTTCATGGCCAGGTCGCTGCAGAGTTTCAGAGGTACCTCGGACGGAGGGACCAGTTCTTCCAGCTCCTCAAATGATGTTGGTACCGCTGCCATGTCTCTGCACCAAGATGACGAAGAAAGCTTTTTGACTGTCATTTTTAGCCTGGATGGACAAGAGCGGCAAATTGATGCACCCTGGGACAATGCTGATCTTCTCTGGGAGCTCACAGCTGTCCAATTTGAACTGTCAATTGATGACGTTGTTTCTCTCCATCATGTAGATCATCGTCCAGCTGACATTGAGCAGAATGACCTTGAATGCCTTCTTCTTCAAAGACGACAAGATGCACCATCGGCCGACTTTCTCAGACTTTGTCTTCTTGACATTGAGTACAAAGCTGATGCTCGAGGGCCTCAGCTTCGCATTGACCGCCGGCCAATTTGGATCCCACGAAGAATCAATAGAGCATCGGTTATTCGTCTTGCAGGCTTTGACGGCTTTTGCGCGCTGTCACCACATCGCTGCGATGTTTGGATCAACGGCATACCCTTGGAGGTTTGTGAGGAGGTTCATGATGTTCAGCATGGAGATTACATCCGCATAGCTGTGCCTTCTCATCCTGATGATCCGGACTCTGGCTGCATGGTTGACACACATGATCAGCCTTACATACATGTGGATGATGATTTGATGAGCCTTGGACAGATCAATGTTCATCATACTCGCGCTGTCTTGCAGGACATCACCAATGTGCATGAGGCGTCACAACGCAAATGTCGACTGCCAACTGGTAGTGAATGCGAAGGTGACACCTTTGTTACACCATTGTTTCCTCCTGAGGAGCCAGGCCGGCCAGAACTCCAATTTGGAGAGCATCTTGAATGCTTGGATGCACTACACAGAACGTGGACGATGCATGCTGCAGTTGAACGAGCAGATGAGGGCAGGATCCTCTACATCTCCACATGGTTCTCCGATTGCGAACGCTGGCCTGAATGTGAGACATCTCGGCCTGTGAGGCTCTTGCCAGATTTTGGACAATGGGCTGATGCCATTGCTGAAGCGTGGGACGATCGTTTAGATCCTGATAGCCCTGTCCATTTATATCTCATCACCCCTCAGCCGAGATCGTCGCTTTGGATGCCTGAAGTGCTGCCGCATGTCTTAGTCTTGCAAAATCCTGTTGCTCATCTCAAGAGCATACACATTGCGACTCTCAACTCAGGAAGAGGAGACCACAACATGCATGGTGGCATTCGTACTGTCTCGACACAGTTCTGGAGGTCACACATCCTTGAGGCCGCTGGCATCTTGCGCTCTTGCAGACCGGGGCACGTCGACTGCATGGTATGGTGGGGAGAACTTGAACTTCGTGATGGACAACAATATCAAGCTCGTCATGGTTTCTCATTTCTGATTATCAGAAACAATCTTGCCGACATCAGCGCATCGAGCAATGCTCCCCAGGTTGCCATGACTGCGGAGACGGAGGGTACGGCACTGTTGCAGACTTGTCTGCACAAGGTAAAGACAAAGATTGTGCTTGATGAACTCATCCCGGAAGAGATCACAGAAACGACACCCATGCCTGTCAGACTCATTGCTGGTGCACCCATGGCACCTTTGCCCACTTACGTGGAATGCTCTGAGCCCTGCAGCTCGATTGAGATATGCAATGAACTCCGACACTGGGGCCATGATTGTGATGTGTACAAGTTTGATGCTCATGATGTTGCTCTTTGCCTTCCCAAAGATTGGCAAAAACCTGCAGATATCTTCCATTACATGTTCTGCAACGTGGAGACGTCAGACACGAATGGAGCTTTCATGCACAGTAGTGACAAACAACTCACCACGGTTGACATCATGAGCTTCCTGTATTTGTGTGGCTATTGGCGCGCAACTGTCCTTGACCTCAAGCTTCTGGAATGTGGAATCTTCCAGGTGATTTTTGAAGATGTTGTTGTACAAGTATCCAGCGTCATTCCGCCCACCAAACAGGCGCCAGATTGGCCTACACCAATTTCGCCCAAGGACAACGTCGGCCCTTTCTTTCTGGTTCCGACTGCAGTTGCTGACACAGATTGCGTCATTGACTATGGCCTCAACTTACAAGAAATCATTGAGTTCTTCTCATCTGCCAATGACATGCTATGTCGCAACCCCGAAGGATACCAGTTTCCTGACACTACGCTTGCAGCCTTGCGTATCAGTGCGTCCACCAATTTGGCAGATTTTGACCGCATTATCATCTACACTGATGGGTCATCTCATGCCAAAGCCAAGCACAAGCCGGCGCTCTGGAATGCAGAACATGGCCATGGTGACACCTGGGCGTTTGTTGTTATTGGTGAAAAGTTTGGCCCCAATGACTTTCACACAGTTGAAGTTCTTGGATGGACAGCCCAAGAGGTCCACTACGACTGCCAGAGCGCCCATTTCCTCGGTGCAGAATACCTTGGATCACATATTGCCGAGCGTGAAGCTCTCACTTGGGCGGGCCTATGGCGCTTAGCACAAAATATCCAGACGCCTACCATTTTCAGGTCAGATTCACAAATATCGTCCAGGCAAGCAACCGGCGAAATTGGCAGCTCTGATTCCACGGCATCTTTCCAGTGCTTCAGGGGCGTGTTTCAAGCTCTCGAAACCGCATTGCCTGACCATTGCCTGACCATTGCCTATGTGTTGAGCATATTCCCAGTCATTGTGGAGAGCCGTTCAACGACCTTGTGGACTGGCTGGCCAGCTCTGAACGGCAGAAAAGCTTTCATTTTCCTCGGCAAGCTCTGTCTATGCAGCGCTGGCGGCCATTTCTTCCCCACTTTTGGACCTTGTTGAGCCACTCAGATGGGATGCCCTCTGTTTGTGCGACTGGACTACATGCCCCTGCACCTGATCTTCCATTGCTTGAGGAGTCTACAGGTATTTCCAACAGTCCTGCTGGTGCAACAAGTAGTCATCAGGTCCTTGACCTTTGTGTGAGCATGGGCTCCGCCAATGTGGCCTCCATGTACAACGGAGAGTGGGGACATGCAGGCAAGACGCTTTATTTACGACAACAATTTCAAGCCATGCGCCTCTTGTTCCTGGGCCTTCAGGAGACTCGTACCCCCGAAACCTTCAGCACGGCTGACGGTGTTGTACGGTTTGGCTCTGGTCACGAGGAAGGAGGACTTTATGGCGTTGAGCTCTGGGTCAACCTTCAAGTTCCCTTTGGTCATCTTGGTGGCAGACCACTTTTTCTGCAAGTCGCGGACATGCAGGTTCTCTATCGAGATCCCCGCTTACTCATGGTTCGAGTTGTCAACAACCACATCCAATGGGCCATCATTGTTGGATATGCTCCACAGTCCGGCCTTGACGAGGCCCAGCGAGCTGACTGGTGGGTTCATCTTTCTCAGATTGTCTCGCAGAAGAAACCGGATGACCGCCTCTTCATGATGATTGATGCCAATGCTGATCCTGGATCCCGCGATGACATCGTGGTCCACCAAGACGGATTCAAAACCACTGCCAATACACATCTTTTCAGGAATTTCCTTTCTGTGCATGGGCTGACATTGCCGGCTACTTGCTCCATCCATGATGGCACCACTACCACATGGAGAAGTCCCAACGGCATGCACGAGCACTGCATTGATCACCTCGTGATTGACCATGAATTGCTTGCATCCTGCACCTTTTCTGGAGTCCTGGAAGACTTTGATTTGGGAACCGGCATGTACGATCATGTGGCTGTTGGCCTTCAGCTTGAATGGAAACAAGTCCTGCTGGCACCAAGGGGACCGAGATCCCGTCCAAAGATTCATGCGGCTGGTTGCGATCATGACAAAGTTCAACATGGGCATGTTCGTGCGGTGCTGGAATCTTATCACACGGTGGCTTGGAACTGTGATGTTGAACAACACGTTGCTGACTTCAACCAACACCTCTTGACGGGCTTGGCATCTTTGTGTCCCAAATCCAAGGCCAAACCCAAAAAGAAATTCATCACTGATGATGTATGGCACTTGCGTATTTGCAAATTGGAACGACGCAAAGCTCTGAAGGAACTCACACTTCGGCACAAATTTGAATTGCTTTCAGCATGCTTCTCAGCCTTGAGCAAAGACAAGAAGCCAGATCCTGCTGCCTTCTGGAAGTATGACACATGGTTAATGTGCTGCAGGGTGCGCCTGATATGTGGATTACATCGAGCTTCGAAGCAATTACGTGACAGGCTGAAACTTGCCAAGCATGATCAACTGCGCAAAGTCTTTCAGCACTTGTCACCGTCAGCCTCTGCGTCTACCATTTTGCATGAGCTACGGCAGATCATTGGATCTACCAATTTGCGCAAGTGCACTCGTAAGGCACTGCCATTCATCAAAGATGAGCATGGCCAAGTCTGCGGCAGTCCGACAGAGGCTTTAGACACTTGGATCCGCTTTTTTCAGACCATGGAAGGTGGAAAGCGAATTCCTGCTCAACAGCAACGTGAAGAGTGGATTGCCAACTTGCAGCACTTCCAGGCTTCTTCCTTGGACTTGTCCCTCATGGACCTTCCAAGCCTTAGCGATCTGGAATCAGCTTACAGACGAGTTGCCCCAGGAAAGGCTACGGGTCCGGATGGAGTGCCAGCGACAGTATGCCATCGTGGTCCTGCCATGCTTGCGAGAAAGACGTATGCTCTGTTGCTCAAAACCATCACTCATGGTCAGGAAAGTCTCCTCCATAAGGGTGGTCGCCTGCACCCCCTTTGGAAGGGGAAAGGTGCCAAGGATCGCTGCGTCTCTTACCGCAGCATTCTTGTATCTTCACACATTGGAAAATCACTACATCGATGCCTCAGAGTGCACTCTTCAGAGCTCTTCGAGAAGTACTTGCAACGTCAACAGCTGGGCGGCAAGCGCAGGATTGCTGTGGGGCTTGGTGTGCACCAGGCCAGAGCCTACCTTCGATCACGTCGAGCCAGAGGACTGAATGTTGGCATGATCTTTCTTGATTTGTGTGAAGCGTTTTACAGAATTGTGCGAGAGCTTGCCATTGGCGGTCCTGCCAACGACATTGTCATTGCCCAAATGGGTGCGAGATTGGGTATGAGCACAGATCTGTTGCACGAGCTCTACAAGCACCTTGATGATGATCATGCTCTTGCCCGTGCGGGAATGAATCCCCAATGGCAACAGGCAGTCAGATCCTTGCACACGGACACCCATTTTTCGTTATATGGACAGGATGATGCATGCAAAACGCAGTTGGGCACGCGCCCTGGTGACAGTTGGGCGGATCTGATCTTTAGCTTCCTCTGGGCACGGTTGCTCCACGATTTTGAAGCTGAAGTGACACGTCTGGGGCTTATCGACACGGTCCCTGAAGCCCATGGATTTCAGTGTTCTGCTTTGCCTTGCACATTCGAGCCACAGACAGAACCAGTGCGGTCACCCTTTTTAGGTCCCACTTGGATGGACGACAGTGCCTTCTGCTTTGCTGACAGTGATGCAAGTCAGCTTGAGAGAAAAGCGGGACAGATCTGCAGTCTGTTATTGCAGAAGTGTGCCGAATTTGCTATGACACCCAATTTGGCACCGGGGAAGACAGCTATTCTTCTCACGTTTCAGGGCAAAGGCTCCGTTGAAGCACGCAAGCGCAATTTTGGGCCCACTGCCCCCAAGACGCTTCCTGTGCTCACATCTGAGGGAGCTGTTAACATCCACCTGGTGCCTTGTTACACCCATTTGGGCTGCCTTCTTCATCACAAAGGCGACATGAGACAAGAGGTACGCAAAAGATTCAGCATTGCCCAGACGGCTTTTCAACAGCACAGAAGGATTTTGTATCAAAACAAACATTTGTCCTTGAAACGACGTGCTGAACTTTGCAGAACTCTTATTCTCAGCAAATTCGTGTACGGCTGCGAGTCATGGACTCTGAGAGATGCCAAGACCAGACATGCCTTACACACTTCATTGATCAAGTTGTACAAACGATTGTTGCCTGGACAATCCGCCCAGCAGAGCCGTGACGCCGAAGTATTGAACGTGACTGGCTTGCCTGATCCGTCAGACTTGCTTCGGATCCAACGGCTTCGACATCTTGGTGCGCTCTATGCTGCTGGGGAAACCACCTCGTGGGGGCTCCTCAATGAGGACACTGAATGGACAACACTTGTCTGCAGTGACCTGGAGTGGATGTGGACGCAACTATGTGCGTCCTCAGAATTGCCTGATCCCAAGCATCACTTCCCAGCATGGACGTACCTCATGAAGTACCATCGTAAGTATTGGAAGAAGCTCATTGTTCGCGCTGGTGCCCATGCAGCTGCTCAACGTGATCTGCTGTACGAGGTCCGTGCATTTCATCGGAATGCCCTGGGTGCTCTGCAGGACCATGACCAAATTGTGCACCCGCCGCCTGCTAGAGTGACTGATTTCACTGCTGAGATATTTGGGTGTTTCGCATGTGAAAAGAGGTTCTCCTCCAGAGGAGGTTGTGGCGCCCATATGTTTCGTGTTCATGGAGTGACGCAAGCAGTACGCCACCTCTTTGAGGGTACTCAATGTGGCAGCTGTCTTCGGGAGTTCCACAGTCATGGGAAATTGCAGCTTCACTTGATGCGAGCGGAATTTTGCCGCCACAGCTTGCAGCGACGTGGAGTTCGTTTCGCACCTGCTCCTGGCATTGGCTCCACTACCAATACACGCCTTGAGCGTGTTCATGATCAATTGCTTCCCCCTCTTCAAGCGCAAGGACCAAAGCTGGAACATGGGCATCGTGCACTTGCTGATGACTATGATTTGCAGCTGTTTGAAGACATCTATGAGACTCTTTTGGAATCAACAGGGATTCAAGATGCTTACAGGCGAACCCGTATGTGTGTCCAGGGCCGTCCTCTTTCATGGGAGGTTGTGCAAAAGACACTCCGTCATCTGGGTGACGCCGCGACGGAGCAAGATGTCTCTGTTCTGCCTTTTGACTTGAAGCAATTTCGAGAGCTTTTTCGACACCTTGCGCTCCACACCAGTTGGGACTTCCTCGTTGAAGAGAGCAAGAAGGAGCAAGGACATTGGCATCATGAAGCGCATGTCTTGATTGAATGCTGTGCGCTTGAAGCACAGGCAAGACGTGATGGAGCTCTGCCTGCTCCTCCTGTTCCTCGTGGCTTTAGTGCAGAGCGCTATTTCCTTCACCTTTTCTCGGGCCGCCGGCGGCGAGGGGACTTCCAGTTCTTCTTTGACCAGTTCCAGGCCCCAGAAGGTATATGGATTCAGGTGATCTCCTTGGACGTCGTTCTGAGCGAGGTTTGGGGCGACTTGCTGCGTCCAGCTACTCGGGCCTTCTGGAAGAGTGCCATTCGCGCTCGTATCGTCATTGGTCTGCTTGGTGGTCCCCCCTGCGAGACCTGGTCAAAAGCCCGGGAGAGGGCTGTGGATGATCGACGACGAGCTCCACGAGTTCTTCGCACAGCAGAACATCCTTGGGGCAAAGAGGCACTGAGTTTGCGCGAAGTGACGCAGGTGAGGGTAGGGAATGTCCTGATGGGGTTTCAGCTGGAAGCTGTGATCGATCTTTATTGTACAGGTGGCGTAGCGGTCACGGAACATCCCGCTGCCCCAGATAATGAAGATTCGGTTTCCATTTGGAGAACCTCTCTTGTAGCTCTCTTGCAGGCGCTCCCGGGGTTTCAACTTATCACCTTGGCGCAGGGTTTGTGGGGTGCCAAATCACCGAAACCCACATCCCTTCTTGCGCTGAATGCTCCCCATCTTGTGCAGATTTTGAGACAGTGGCAGATTGCCCAGAAGGTTCCCATGTCAGTTTCGATTGGACGTGACAATCAAGGCAATTGGTCCACGTCTGTGCTGAAAGAGTATCCCCCAGCACTTAATGCTGCACTTGCACAGGGATTGCATGAGGCGATTTTGTCCTGCACCACGGACAGCACTGTGCAGGTCGCCGATAGCTTTAAGGCCAAATGCACGTCCATGCTATGCACAGAGTATGGTGGTGCACTTGGGCCAGATTTTGCTGGTTGAACCAGCGAACATTTAGAATTCGTGACCGAGATGCTAGCCGCAGCGTGAAGCTTCTGTGTGCTTGAGCAAAAATATACATAATATACAGTATATAACTCGCTCCATCAATGGAGCGTTCCATGGATTGGAGTAATTAAAGAATTGCGCAATACCGAATAATGATGGTGGATACCTGCATTGTGTTTCTGTTGAAGCCAATTCTGGGACGGGTGGGCAGGGATCTGAACATACGAACTGGGTTGTCATTGAGCCATGAATCTGGGTAAATCTCCATGGGGGAAAGCACCTCAAACTTCACTTAGGGTCTTAGAGGGGTTGTTTGAATATATTTGAACTAATTATTCCAGACTAATACCCATACCCATACAATTGATATTTTCTCACATGAATGATAGGGAAATTAGGGAAACACTAGAACATATTCGATTCATTGTTGACTTTTTGCCACACTTCTTGATGGATTGATTCTGCCAAAAAAACAAAGGTCCCGGTCCTGAAACTGAGATAAATGTAGTTGTGTTGGTCTTCCATTCTTGGATGCGCTCATCTGGAATAGGTATACATAGGTAATGAATGATGGATAAACCATCACCACCAGTCCCCAGTGCCACAGTTGGAGCTCGGTTATGCGGTGGAGCTCATCATGTCGTTGTTGTCATCCTGCTGGCAATGAATGGTTGGCAGCCCATTGTTTTAACATTTTTTTCCTGAGAAATCCTGAGTGGCTTGCATGTTTCATATGCTTACCCTTATGAAACCACCATGTGTTGCTGGTAAAACCCAAACCGTTGCCAGTTACATCACAAAAACTCAAGATCTTCATGAATGTGTTCATTGATAAAACTCTTTTCGCTCTTAAAAGCTGGTAAAGATCATTAACGATCGCTAGGTTCTTTAAATCTCCCGTTTTTGTGTTGCTTTATTGTAGCAAGCCAAGTCCATCAAAATCACTTGTGCTTCTCCCATAAAAACCAGGCATTTTGACTGGCGAAATCCCGAAGAACTCAGGCGCCCAGGCGACCGACATTGCGCGGCAGCTCTTTGGGCCCCGATCGGCGGAATGGGCGATTTGGCGGTGATGGTGATTTTTTGTTGGGGCAGTGCTTGGTTTAATGGCATTTATGATGGGATTTTGAAGTGATTGAATGGGACTTTATAGTGATTTAATGGTATTTCATAATGAATTAATGTATATTAATGTAATTTTATAGTGATTTAATGGGATATGAATGAGATATGAATGGGATATGAATGGGATATGAATTGGATATGAATGGGATAAATGGAGGTTTAATGGGATATTAATGGGATATACCCTCGGGTAATCAAACGTGGTGTGCTGGAAATTTTCCCCATTGCTTGATGATTTTCCCATATTTTTAATGTAGTTCGGGGACTATCCAGCTAGCCACTCTTTTGATTACCAGAGAGGAAAACTTTGATGTTTGATAACTTTCTGCGATGTCTTTTTGCAAGGCCTGCTACTTTTCGCATCCATGATTTTCCCATCGTTCCGCGGATTACGAAGGGACCTGACGAAAATATGAGCCAAGATCATGCCGACTTTGTTGCCTCTGTGGAACGACCACTATGGTACCACCATCCCAGTACAGTCTTCAACAGGAAGTACCGAGATCCGTGTCATCAGTGCTGGTTTATGTGCTTGTGTTCGTACCAAGACCTGCCCATGAATAAGCACAGATAAAGGCCAGAACCATGCAGAACCATGGATTCCACTGGAAAGGATCCCTGGGTAGATCCAACAATATCCAACTGTTGACTGGTGGGGATGGGTTTCCACCATGGACCAGATAGGTTGTGAACATGGGTCTCCAGAGGCAAAACTCTTGGCTAAGGCTTAGTACATAATGACACTTCTTATGCAGACACAAGGATATGGACAGTCTATGGCTTGAGCCAAACAAGCAACTAAGTGCAGGTATCGATGTCTGACTCATCTCGGAAAAGGGCCCTCACCTAGTCTACGAACTAGGAACTACCAAACTATGGAAGCTCTCAAAACTAGCAAGCTAAGTGGCTGACTGCGCCAGCTGACTGCGCCAGCTGAATGCCGTGTCTCCCCAGGAGAGACGATTGGAGGCGGCCAAACTCTGCAAGGCCAAATGAGGCGATGATCGATTTCGCCCTGATCGATGTGCCGATGTGCCGATGTTTTCACCAACCATCGTGACGATGGGTCACGGCCAGTGCCAAGCACTGGATCGATCAAAGGTTTGAGGGGAGAGTCAGGCCTGCTTGGAATGAAGATGTGGAACATGGTGGAACAAGAAAGATGGGCACGTGGTAAAACGGAGGATGATAAAGCTAGACTCATAGGAAGGGGATAATCTATTTTCAAGAATTCCAACTGTTCATCATCATTAATCATTACCTCCACCATCATCAAACCACTCTGGAGTTTGCTTCCAGATATGCCATATGCGCCCCCGCAAGAGCCAGCCCCCTGACCTATACGCGTCCGTATGCGTCCGTTGCTTTTTCGCAACCTGTGCCCAGAGGGAAGCAAGCGCCAAAAGCGGCGTAAACGGGGCCTTTGGTAAGGGTACACACCTAAAGATCCCAAAGGTAACACCCTTCTCCAGCATTATGAGGGATGGATGGGGCGATGCAACTTGCATGAGATTTGTGGGATTTTGGCCCAAGATTTTCCACAATGGTAGGGAGATTCCGAGATTTCCCACAGATGGATAGTATCTGAGTATCCGATGATATGTGAAGGGTAGCTGGTTAGAACATGTTGGCAGTCCCCAAAAAAAAGGTGGTGTTGGCAGATGGTTTTCAGCACAAAGTTTGGGTTTGGCCACTGACTTTTGATTATTCTTTTGGGAACTAGGGTTGAAAGTGCTATTGAACAGGAGTCAAAGAGCCCTGGTACTTTCTAAACTTCTAAACTCCCTGGGCAAGTGTAACAACAAATAAGTACTGTGGTCCAGTGGTTGTTTATCTCTTCGGGTCAGTGTTTGTTTTTGGCTTATCTTTGAAGAATAAGACTTGGCCGGTTTTCTCGCACTTTTCTTGGGAATATTAGAATGTGATCTCCAATCATTGAACGAGTTGGCGTGGGTTGAAACCTGTTGAAACATGTTGAAACTATATACCGACCAGAAACTCAGCAGGAGAAATACGTGCAACATCATTTGAATCATTTCGAACCCATTGATGATACATATATATATAAATATATGCTGTCTATATATAATTATATATATTGATGATATTGATGTTGGGTCCCACCAGTTGTTAAACGTGAAGATCTCAATTTTCTGCTTGGTCAAAAGGACCATTAACCACAAATAAGTTCAAACAGGTAACTATTTTCAACCTGTGTATGGCCATGGGAAATTATATCCTGAATCAATGGATTGATTTGACGTTTTTTTTGTGGGGCTTTCCTGCGGCATCTCCCCTCATCCAATTCCGGGCCTCAACTTCTTGGTGTTTGTGGCTCAAGGGACCCCTGTGCGGATCGGAAATTTTGCCGCACAGCGGCCCAACGAACGCTAACGCCACACGTGGCGGCGGATCGAACCATCGGAACGCCACACGATGGGCACGTGCTTGTGTTGCGATAAGACGGATCCTGGTGAGGCCTTTGTCCCTTGGTGCCGTTTGGAACTCCCGAATTGAAGCAACCAAAGGATGTCGTTTTCCAAAATGGACCCCGAACTGATCCGAAATTGATTTCGTATATAAGTACATCTAATTATATAATTTAGAACTTGTTGGGCAATTGCTCCATTTCGGGAAATTCCCACATGTTGAAATTAATCCCTTCCTCCTAATACTAAACCCCCCCCCCCTAATACAAAACACGGCAGGTAGTTTTTAGTATTAGGGGGGTATTTATTATTAGGGAACCAAATCGAAGTCATGTTAATTAATTAATTAAATTTCCTTATATAACGCAATTAAAATATTGCCAAAAATGGCAGTTCGAAGCTTACCCCTAATACTAAATTAAAACCCTTAATACTAAAAACTATTTTTTCCGATCTCAAAATCAATTAAATTTCCTTATATAACGCAATTAAAATATTGCCAAAAATGGCAGTTCGAAGCTTACCCCTAATACTAAATTAAAACCCTTAATACTAAAAACTATTTTTTCCGATCTCAAAATCAATTAAATTTCCTTATATAACGCAATTAAAATATTGCCAAAAATGGCAGTTCGAAGCTTACCCCTAATACTAAATTAAAACCCTTAATACTAAAAACTATTTTTTCCGATCTCAAAATCAATTAAATTTCCTTATATAACGCAATTAAAATATTGCCAAAAATGGCAGTTCGAAGCTTACCCCTAATACTAAATTAAAACCCTTAATACTAAAAACTAGCCCCCCTAATACTAAACACCCCGGGATGAATTAGTTTTTAGTATTAGGGGGGAGAACCCACAAATGGTAGGTTGATTTTTGAATTGTTTTTTAAAGGGGATCAATTAAAAGTCAAATTGGCCAAACTGAAATTTTCGGAAATTGGAGATGGATGCCTGTTTTTAGTATTAGGGGGACGTTTAGTATTAGGAGGAAGGGATTAGTCAGTCGAGGTTTTTTTCCCCATCTGAAGGAGTTTTTTTTTGATGCGTTGTGGAACTCCAAGTTTCACTCCATGCCATGTCCCTGTTTCAACCTGAGACATGTTTCAAGTAGTGCTATTGTGTGCTGATGTGCCAATCAGCGATTAATCCAACCAGAAGATAACCAGGAGCATCCGGCATGTTATGATATATATATATATTATGGTTATTATGTACTTGGTCACGATATGCAAAACCACTGTACTGTAGATTTGCTGTTCTGGGAGATCTCCCTTTGAATGATTTGGTCCGAAAAACGCCCCATCCTAAAGAGGACTTTTTTGGATGTCATGATCCAGTATGATCCAGTCGTGTCCTAAGGGACCATCCCAATATGTGATATAAATGACTGGTCACTATATGAATCCAGTCATGTTCCAATGGATTATCCCAATCTATGCCAAGAATTTATATTGGATGAATATGAATGAATATGAATGAATATGGATGGATATGGATTAATCGAAGGAAGTTTAGAAGTGAAACTTCCGACAATATGGACAGTTGAAAAGCAGAGGTGAGAAGAGTCAGAAGAGACAAGATCAGAAGAAAGAAGATGCAGATGCGCGAAAAGGTAGGAAAGTCGCGAAACACTGTGTTTTTCCAATGATTTGGGGGAGGGTCGAAAAGTAGGCTCGCT